AGTCAACGGCAAACAAGCGCAGACAACGTTTGTCGGTCAAAATCAAAATCAGCCCCAGCCTTTGTTCCTTTAATTCCGAGAATCGTGGACCAGTTATGAAACAAGTCTGCAACATGCACACCAATACAGGGCCAAAAGAGAGTTACAGGCTGGCTGGCTGGCTGAGCAGCGACGACGGAGCTGAGAAAACAATAAAGAACCCAACCCGAGGGCTAAAATAAAAAAAACAACAACAACGTATTGGGCCCGAATCTGGACTGGGAGATGAAGCTGGGAGCTGAAGCTGGATGGGGTAACTTCAACTTCGTCTCGTTAGCTGCGCCTGCGCCTGTGCAATGGCCGAGGAAAATACTTTATGGATCGAAGACAGAGTCGGGGCTTTTGTACCTGCCACTTGGTCTCAACGCTGGCAGCGCTGCAACTGCAACTTAATTTCTTCTGTGGCTGTGCTTAGTGCTGCGGCGTTGCAAGTACTTCATCATGTTTCGGGGGAGCAGTAAAAATAAATTAACAAAAACCCAGCCAGGCCAAGCAGCCATTCACCACTTCCCCCAACTGGTCTAGCTGAGACCAATATGAGACGTAATAACTTGGTCCGAAAGGAGTAAGAGCCGTACTATATAGCCGTGCGAACACAGTTTGTGTGTATGCTCCCTTGACATCAAAAGCGCAGCTGGATCAAGTTCAGGATTTGGTTTTCGTTTCGGTCAAAATGCAGAAAAGCTCATAAAGTTTTGTAGGGGGAGATGAAAGGGTATAAAGTCTGCTACCTCTTGGGTGATAACTTAAAGGAGTTATCTTAGAAATTTAGAAGGTTTATCTGCATTTTGGGTTGATTTCAGTTTTATACTTTGGTTTCCTAAAAGGCTTGGAAGTAACCTTCTTTGAAAGTTTTCCCTCTTTTATAAATTAAAGTCCTTGTTCTTAGATAGAACCAATATTAAGATAATAACTTAGTAATTTCCTTAAAAATGATATTAAAATATATTATCCCTATTATAATCATAGATCACCTCTTTAAAACCCACCCTATACCCAAGTTATTACATCTCTTTTTTTATTAATCTGTTTGGGTCTTAAAATTTATGCCTCTTCCGTGGAACGATCGCAGGATTTGGCATGGGAGCCATCGGTGTGTGTGTATCTGTTTGTATGCAAAACAAGTTGCAAGCGACACGTAGGTGGCTTTGAATATTGAAAAGTCGTTCTGCAGCCTCTCCTGGCGGCGATTGAGACCTCCCGGCCTGCTCTACGTTTTGGCCAATGGAAGTGGCACTTTCAGGCCCACCAAAAACAAAAAACGAAAGACTGAAGCGACAAACTTGCTGGCGGCAATTGGCCAATTCGAAGACACTTTCACTTCGCGATCTTCGTTGATTTTTGGCATTCTATTCTTTTGTCTTTTTGGTTTTTTTTTGGTTTTTGGTTTGGACTGAAATAGAAAGTGCTGGCAACTGGCAACGGATGGCATTTTCAGATACAATTTAAATTCGAACCTTTTCGTCATGCTTCTTTCACTTGGCACGCATGCAAATTTCGTGCAAAATATCTTTGCCAGACAGCAATAAAAACTTGGCAAATATTATTCATGAATTGGCCAATGAAAGTGAAGTTATTGCGTGTGGCAATTATGCGACTGAGTTTTGTGAATTTGCTTAAGTAAGGCATTTCTTTTAACAGTAGGCAAAACGATTACAGTTAAAGCCATCAAAACGGGTTGGTCGTTAATATCTCTCTCTTTTAACAACCACAACAAAGGAAAATCCCAAGCATTTCCTATCGTTTTATTGTCACAGCTGCCGCCGCAGCATTTCATATTCAAATTTGCCGGCCAAGAAAAACTCTCACGCGCTAACCAAAAAATCGAAATAAAAAGGCACACACACACACACTCACATATATATAAATGCAACTTCGTCTAGGGTTTAGCTTTTGACTTGTGTTTTTTTTTTTGTATTTTTCCCTCAATCGGTTTCTTTTTATTGCATCACGATTTTGCAATACATTTGACAAATTTATTTTGATTAGAGGCAATTTCTTTGGAAGTGTAGACATGAATTGAATTTCGCTTGATTGAGTTGTGCTTTTTTATTGTTATTATTGGAATGTGTTGGGTTATGCACTGAGAGAATATAGGGTATTATTATGTATTTCTATCAGAATAGAAGAGTAGAAAAAAAACCAATCAGAAAAAGTGATTCATAAGCTGGCAGTTTTGATCTTAAATTTCTTTTTTGAGTAACCTTAACTCCCTTGATTTTTCTTATTTTTAATTTATGTTCTTAACTGTTGGTTAAACATTTTATTAATACACAAAAGAAACGTTAAATTTTTAGCATAATCATAAAAACAAAAGACAACCTAGCGGACATATTTCTGCCATTGTCAATGTCAACTTTGTTTGAGTTGTCATAAAAACTAGAACCTCATCTAGCTGATGGCATTTTTAAGAGACAGCTTGAAGCCTAATTTATCACAATTAAGAAAATATTATTGCCAAATTTTCCGCTTAATTTTTTGCCAAAGTATACAAAAACCGAAATTCAAAACAGAAGCAGAAAATCGGAATCGAAATGCTAAAACAGAAAGAATCAAGCTGATTAATGCAAAACGTGGCAGCTGGCACCACTTGTCACAGATTCCATTAGGTCATCGCCAGATTTACATATATATACGATTTATATATATATATATAGATTTGGTATTGGGGAATTTTTAAACCATGCGTTGTCCCCACTTAAAAGACCTGAAACGAAAATCTAATGAAATTCGCCGTGGGGGAAATTGCGTGAGAAAATCGAGAAAGTTTTTGGCTGGCTGAATATTGCAGGTGGCAGATTAGCAACTTTCCTCGGATTTGCTCTGTTCTGTTTGGTTGAGAAATAAAATCCAAAAAAAAAAATCCAAAAAATTGGCAATCATTTGTAAACAATGTGTGAGGCGAGGTCCAGGGGCTTAACAAAAAAAAAAAACGCTGTTGACTGTTTAGCCACTGAGAGAGGAGGTAAGAAATACGGCGCGCATGACCCACTTTCGAGCCATGTTTATTTCTTTTACTTGTTGCCTGACGCTACCCCTGCCTTTGCCCCCACCGCTGCTGCTGCTACTCTGTCGCTCTCTCTTTCTAAACAACTTTTTAGGCAAATTAGCAGCTGCAAAGGCATTGAAAGTTGCTTAACCACTTGCCGAAAAAAAAAAACAAAAAACAGAACCAGAACCTTATAGAATTGGTTATTACGTAGCCCAGCAATAGCAACAAGTTGTCTAGATTTTAGCCAATTTCAAGATAACTCTCGAATGAACACTCTCGACAGCACTTTCAATGCCAAATCACTAAACTGGGTCAGCAATTTTTATTTACTATATACTATATAGTAATGCGTATCTTTTGCTATTAAATAGATTTTTCCTAGTCTTGCAATTTTCTTAGCTATTTTCTTTGGCGAATTCTCTCAGGCAAAGGCCTAATCATTCAATTAGTTAATTCATCTCTTTGGCCGTCTTCCGCATTTACTGCAAAAGTGCAAAACTGTCGGCAATTAATATGCACAGTCAACTGCAACAACAGCAACAGAGCAACATCAACAAAAAGCGGCTCAAGTTGCAGGCTTGGCAGTGGGTAACCATGGGTGGATTATGCCATTAATGTGATTTATGGATAAATTATATTAATAAATAATCAAAAACAAAAGAAAAATAAGTTGTTAAGATTTTAAAATAATATTTAGCTGAAAGATTTTAACATAAACAAACAAAATTTATATTTTTTTAGCTTGTTTCTTTGTTAAAAATGTTAGTTGATTTATTATGAGTAAGTTGAAAAGCTTAAAATCTTAAAAAGTAACGCCAATTTATACAAAATTATTCAAATTGAATGGTTTTTATAGTTCCACTTTATTATTTCTGCTGAATAAACATGCAGATATATATTAAAGTTAATGTATTGTATTAATTAAAAGTTTTTCAATCGTTTTTATTATTTTTAATTCGATTTCCGGATTTAAATAGAAACAAAAAGGCATTAAAAAATGTTTAAAAATTAAATTTATAAAAATTGAATGGTGAAAAAGGTTCGTAAAATAAATTTAACTTGATTTAATGAAAGAAAAATCGTAAAAAATAGAATCTAAATTTTTACCAAGTTAGTAAGTTCTGTATTAAAGATCCAGTAAGGTGTTAAGTTTTTAGTAAGTTCTGTATTTTAAGATCTGGTAATACAAATAGACCAACTTAGGGTGAAATTTTCATTTAAATTATTAATATTTTTACAATTATAGTTAGTACATCTCACCCACTGTGCCCTCCATCAGCTGCATTTATGTCTTTGGAACCTTAACTCAGCAACTTTGCAGCTGCTTGACTAACTGCACTTTGCAGCCATTAGTTGGAGGCTTTGGCTTTAACTTAAGCTATAGATTCAGCTTCAGCTTCAGCCTTAGAGTTAAGTTGAGTTGAGTTTGCAGTCACAATCCTCGGCAACAAAGTCGTTGTTGATTTTGTTGACACTGCTAACGGATGCTGGGATGGATGTTGGCTCAGCTGCATAATGCAATCCTTTTGCCCAGTCACTTATCAGTCATTTGTTAAGCCGTCGTTTTTTCTCTTTTTTTCTTCATTTTTTTTTATATTTTTTTGTTAGCTTTTGCGGCTTGAACGTGTACCTTGCATAATGGTTAAACGTGAGAAAATGTTTTGCAAAGAAAGTGTGAGAGATAGATACTCAATGGAGCGGATAGGTGTCGGTGGAATCGACTTAGGGGCACCGCAGTAGGTACCATTATGCGATTACTATTACCCGCATGTAGAGCACAGTGCGCGACAAAAGTCAAACACGTAGCCGGTGACGATAATTTAATGATGTAATGAGCCCAAACCCAGGTTTTTTCTTTATTCCTTTTTTTTTTTTGGGAAAGTGCCCAACGCACACGTGTGCTGACCACATTGAAAGCCTCAAATCCCCAACACTAAACCTCAAAACCCGCTTCCTCTTAACATTACAGCTCACCGATGAGGTGGTTCGCAAGAAAACCGAATACCAAAAACATTTGGAGGGCTACAAGGCGCTGCGCACGCGCTTCGAGGAGCACTACATAAAAGGTGAGTGAGATACAAGGGGTATCAAGTTGCTGATGGGGGATTAAGTTTGGAGAAAAAATCAATTTAAATCTTTAAAAAAACGTTAAGGTATATTATCTATCTATCTATCTATATATCTACTTATACATATTGGCTGATAAATAATTTCCCATTTAGTTAGTTAACAAATTGGAAAGATTTTCTTAAACATTTCTCCCCTTTTCGCATCAAATTCTTTTTAAATTCTTAGTGACCAAGCTAAGATCGATTATTTTCTTATTTCTCAGTTTAAAAAATGATAATTTTCTCTAAGTGCTAATATAATTCCCCTCCTTATCCAGCACCCAGTCGCAGTGGCCGCAAGCTGGACGATGTGCGTGACAAATACCAGAAGGCCTGCCGCAAATTGCATCTCACACACAACGAGTACGTGCTCTCCATCACGGAAGCCATTGAAGTGGAGAAGGACTTTCGTACTGTACTTTTGCCAGGATTACTGGAACATCAACAGTCCGTCCAGGAGAGTTTCATTCTGCTGTGGCGCAACATTTTGCAGGAGGCAGCCCAATATGGTGATCTCACGGCAGACAAGTACAAGGAGATTCAGAAGCGCATCGACACTGTGATAGGAGGCATCAATCCGACCGAGGAATATGGCGAGTTTACTGAGAAACACAAGTAGGAGTTATCTATATTATCAATTTAATATATATACTAATCAATAATCTATATTCGTAGAACCTCCCCCACAACCCCATTGCTTTTCCAATTCGATGAGACGCTCATCGAGGATATTCCTGGCAAGCTACAGTCAAGTACTTTGACGGTGGACAACCTGACGGTGGACTGGTTGAGGAATCGCCTCCAGGAACTGGAGGGAGCCGTCAAAGATTGCCAAGAGAAGCAGCTAAAGATGATCGAGCATGTTAATGGTGGCTCTCCGGTGGCCAATGGCAGCATTATATCAAACGGCAGCAATACGTCCAATGGCATTCAGTCCAATAAGGATAGTCAATGGTAAGGAGATCCGAGATTCTTAAGATATATAGATATTAACTTACCTATATAATAATAATTAACCTTATATAGCCGCCAATCAAAGGACCTTAATGCCTTGCGTTGCCAGGAGAAGCAGAAGCAGAAACTCGTCGACATGATCAAGTGCGCCCTGAACGAGGTGGGATGCGAGGAGTTGCCCTCCGGCTGCGATGATCACTTAACCCTCGAGCAGAACTTCATCGAGAATGGCTATAACAACGAACAGCAGGTGGGTCTTAGCTTTTCCTTTAATACTAAATAGGTTTTGGTTAATCTTAAGACGTAGGCGGTCATGGTCTAACTAATCACGTATGATGAAACCATTTCTCTTTCTCTGGATGCTGCCCTTCTACCCATACCACACATACCTTACAATATACCCATGAAAACATCCGAAACTTAACCCATATTAGCAGAGGTCCAACTCCACCAGTTCACCAGGTCTGGGCATTATGAACGAGCTGATGCGACGCGGCGGGGTCTTGACCCTATTGCGTGGAAGGGGTCGTCATTTTAAGAGGAAGAGTACCCCCCAGCCGGCAACGCCGATGACGAGATCGCGTCAAGGACGTTTCAACAAGATGCAGCCACGATCCCAGAGTTTGGGATCCTTGTCGGTAATTAGGGATGGGAATGGGCCAAGTCCTGCACGTTATGAGCCCATAACTAACCATCGTTTGCGCCAAGCGGCCAGTGTTCATTATTTGGGCGAGGAGATCACTCCGAGTTCCATTAATCCGCCCGAATTGCCACGTTTACGGCGTACCCAGTGTTCCATGTTGTGTTTGGGCGAGGATGAGGAACCCATTGTCCTTAACTCGCCCGCCCCGCTCACCCAGCTAACAGCTGCTGTCCTTACTAACACCAATAACAATCATATCTATGCGGATCTGGAGTTGGACAGGAAAGTGGAGGTAACACCAGCTCCAGAAAGTGATGGGGAAGATGGCTCTGATACCCCCGCCAAAAAGGAACAAATTCAAATAGAAATCAATCATAAGTTACCGGCACCTCAGAACTCCATTGATGCCCACCTGGACAGGATTGATGAACTGAATCGAGTCCTAGATGATCGCCTCAAACGCACTCTCCAGCCCAATGATGATCTGAATGCCATTGAAAGTGCAGAGGACCAACATATAGAGAAGAGGAAACTAGCCAAAGATCCAGATAGCCATACCAAAAGGAGTTCCAGTTCCAGTTCGGAGTGTCGATCCTCCAAGGATATGAATCACACCAAAAAGCGTTCACTATCCTTCACACAGAAATCCATAAGTAACATCTTTAGCAATCTCAAAGAGTTCTCCAAGAGTCCTCTAGTAAGGATGGGCAAGAATCAAACGCTTAACGAAGAGCAGGATGCGGAAAGGATGCAGCCAAGTCAACAGCATTCCAGCAGCAGTGATTCGCAGACGAACAGTAGCAGTTCCAGCAGTCATAATAATAATAACAATAATAATAATAACAATACCAATAGCAATAGCAATCACAGTGCCTCACAGTCCACGATCATAACGAGCACGATCACCACCACTATAACGACTACAACGACCACGACGCCGTCCAAGGAAAACTCAAGACTGAAATTCAAGGTGCCCAAGATTCAGAAGAAATCCAAGGCCATTCGCAATACATTCCGCACCAAGTTGCTCAATTTCCAACTGAAACGTTCCAAGCCATGTAAACAGTGCACCAAAAGACGTCGCATCCATCCCAGCAAGAGTGTCTTTGACTTTGCTCGCGAATTCCAGGCAGATCAGCCAGCTGGCTCTGCAGAGGAAGAGCAATTCTGTAGCTGTCCACCAGTTGCCCAGAAAACTCTCAAGCCATCCGTCCAAATAGCCAGTAGTCACAAGGAACGTTCTTTCGAGTCTAGCTCTGGTGATCTTGAGGAGAATGAGGATCAGCACAACAACGAGGATGAGGATAGTGACGATGTGCTTAGCATGAAGGATCATTGCTATTGCGTGCCCAGCCTGGCGGCCAGTGTGAGTTCCCCGTATCCGCATCCGTATCAGTATCCGAGATAGCAACTGCACCCCCAACCGTATCGAGACCGTATCTAAGCCAACGGGAGGCGCCATCTGACGCCACCTTCTTACCGAAATCAAAAACCGCATCGCTTTGCTTGCTCCTTCAATTTGCATGTTTGATTGATTGTGCATGTTCCGGCGCTCGTTCTCGTTCAATATTGAAAGCATGTTTCGGGGGAAAGAGCTTTTTATAGAGTGGTTCTGAAAATAAACAGATACAGGGTGTCCTGTAGTCTAGACTGATGAGTGGGGTAAGGCAGATAGGAAGTGTGTTTGGGTTATTATTTGGTTTGGATTTCTTCTAGTTCATTATTTAACCATAACCTTTTGTGGCGATTAGAAAGTAATTCAAATTCTCATCTTTAGAAAGTGTATTCAAAATCTCTACAAAATTTCCCAATTTCCTCCACCCTTTTCCCAATTGCTAAAATTACTGCGTGCGTGCCAAAAATGAGAAAGAGCGAAAGTGACCGAGAGACAAGTTCAGCGGAGAGTATTACGCGATTTATATCTTTTAGTTCTCAGCGATCGGGCGAGCGGTTTGGTGGATACCAACCAAGCAGTAGTCGCCATTAAAATGTATCTAGTCCATTGAAATGTTTGGCGTCTTGTTGTTTGGCCAGTGAAACAAAAAAAAGTTGGAGATCTATCACATATCTGACAGAACGCGTGACTATTTCAGTTTTAGTTTCTATTGTGAGATAATTGTGGAAGTTTTTTGTTCGTATCTAGTAGATACGCAATCATCATGAGTAGTTCCGGACAGAGTAGCAACTATGCCGGTGCTGAAAGTGGGGGAATTTTCGAGACAATTGTCTTTACGGGAAGGCCAATACCGCCGGCCAGAAAAAAGCGACCAAAATCGAAAGTTTTTGTGAGTCACACACCACGACAGGGCAACCTTGAGATCCATTTTCCAAACCTGTATCTAGTAATAATGTGTATTCCTTATTTTATAATGCCTTTTGCTTACAGTATTTAATTATAATTTATTTACGTGTATATCTGAAAGCTACTGCAATTTCGTCAGAGCCAATTGCACCCACGCATTTCCGTTGCCCGTTTGTGGAAATGTGGAAATGGCGTGTTAACCGATTCTCAGCTTTTTTTATTTTCCCTCATTTTTTCTGTTACTGTATTCTGCATGCTTTCACTAATCTCTAAGCAAAAATAAGTATATAGATTTAGCTAATTATATGGATCTTGCAGATATCGCTCTCCACGAATCGTCCACTTTACGAAGAGGAATGGTTCCATGGCGTCTTGCCACGTGAGGAGGTGGTCAGACTTCTCAATAACGATGGTGACTTCCTGGTCCGTGAAACCATTCGAAATGAGGAGAGCCAGATTGTGCTGAGTGTCTGTTGGAATGGCCATAAGCACTTCATTGTCCAGACCACCGGAGAGGGTAACTTCCGGTTCGAGGGACCACCATTTGCCAGCATCCAGGAACTGATCATGCATCAATATCACTCGGAGTTACCGGTAACTGTGAAATCTGGGGCAATACTCCGACGACCTGTTTGTCGAGAACGCTGGGAGCTGAGCAACGATGATGTGGTGCTTCTGGAGAGGATTGGCAGGGTAAGTTAGCAGCTTTATCAAGAAGGTTTACTATCTTATTTAATATCTGTAATCATAGGGCAACTTTGGGGATGTCTACAAGGCCAAACTGAAGTCTACCAAGCTGGATGTGGCCGTCAAAACCTGCCGTATGACCCTGCCCGACGAACAGAAGCGTAAATTCCTTCAAGAAGGACGCATCCTTAAGCAATATGATCATCCTAATATCGTCAAACTAATTGGTATCTGTGTCCAGAAGCAGCCCATTATGATTGTCATGGAATTGGTGCTGGGTAAGTTTTTGGAGTCTCCAAAATCTGTCACAATATTTGTTATTTAATTTAACCAATGCTAACGTATTTTAATTCTTTTTTTAGGTGGTTCCCTGCTAACATATTTACGAAAGAACTCCAATGGCCTCTCCAATCGCCAGCAAATGGGAATGTGCAGGGATGCTGCGGCTGGTAAGTGGACTTAAAATCTCATTAATACATATTAAACTAATATGAAATCATTCTTACCTTAAGGCATGCGATATCTGGAGTCCAAAAACTGCATACATCGCGATCTGGCGGCGCGTAATTGCCTCGTTGACCTAGAGCACAGTGTTAAGATCTCCGATTTTGGAATGTCACGCGAGGAAGAGGAGTATATAGGTAAGTTTTAAGATACAAACTAAAAGCAATCCTTAACCTTAATAAATAATCTCTTTAAACAGTTTCCGATGGCATGAAACAAATACCTGTAAAGTGGACCGCTCCTGAGGCTCTCAACTTTGGAAAATACACCTCACTCTGCGATGTTTGGTCCTATGGGATACTGATGTGGGAGATCTTCTCCAAGGGGGACACACCCTACTCGGGCATGAGCAATTCCAGAGCCAGAGAGCGTATCGATACGGGTAAATATTTATTACTATTTTTGTTTATATTTGAGATGTCTGGGTTTTCTTGCTAAACTAATAATAACTTTTGTATACCGAAGGATACCGAATGCCAACGCCAGAGAACACGCCAGCGGAGATGTACCGACTGATGCTCAAGTGCTGGGCAGCCGATGCCGAGTCCCGGCCGCATTTCGATGAGATCTACAATGTGGTTGACGCACTGATCCTGCGCCTGGACAATAGCCACTGAGAGCGGCTGCAACCGGCAACGCGGAACACACATTAGCATACTCAATGTAGTTTTAGTCAGCGCTTTTAAAGTACGTTACGTCCATGGACTTAACAACGAGTTGCCTGTATTTATGAGATAGCTATATACTATATACATTTTACCACATAAACGATATTTATATAGAGACATATATATATATATATATTTTCTAGCCATGTAAATGTAAATTTCGATATATACTGTGTGTTTGACTGAGCGTATGTAATGAATCCTTAATGTGCCAAAAACCGCAAGAAGATCTTAAAACAAAAAAATATTTAAAAAAAAAAACAGAAATTGATATTGTGTGTCTGCTTCTTAGATCTAAGCTCATGAATTTATATAGAGTTTTAGTTGTTTGTGTTTTAGTTTTAGTTATTAAAGAGAAAGAGAGAGAGAGAATCATAATTTGTATATTATGCAATCCCTACGTTCGTCAATTTTGTTCTAGACTTGTGTATTTTATGTATATTTATTTACACCTAATTTACATTTCTACTTCGACTACGATTATGTTTACTCTTAACAACTAAGCTCTAAGTTTAAAGCTTTAAGTTCTTGCTGCGCTGCTGAAGTGAATAAATCATATGTGTACTATATACAAGACTCTCGATCTCCTACGAATCGGAATCACTGGTCAGGGCCAGCGGGACATCGGAGAACTGAACTTTAGAGTAGAACTTCTTCAGTTCATTCTTCAGCTCCAAACTATGTGTCCAGTCAACAGTTTCGCAAATAACTTTCACTTCCACGGTGTAGATATCCCTCAGCCAAGCTCTCTCGTGCATAATATCCTTGATGGAGACTCCCACACGGACCAGCAGGGCACAAAGATCATTGATTCCGCCAGGACGATCGCTTACCTCTACATTGAACTTGACCAGGCGACCCACGGCGGCCAATCCACGCTCTAAGCAGCGACCGAAAACTGTGGTGTCTATATTGCCACCACAGAGAAGGACCACAACCCTAGAAAATTAAAGGAAATTTTAGAACTTATCTTAAAAGATATTCCTACTAATAGTACTCACTTCTTCCCCTTCAACTCATCAAGATGACCCGCCAAAATAGCCGCCAGACCTGCTCCACCAGCTCCCTCGACGACGCATTTCTCCTCCTCCACCAACCGAAGGATAGCCACGGCAATCCACTCCTCCTTGACCACCACCATGCGATCTATGAGAGGCATGGCCGTGGCATAAGCATTATAACCAACTTTGGGCACAGCCAGACCATCAGCCAAGGTGTTCTTGATGGGAGTATGAATGGGTCCATTATTTTCCATGGCACGAGTGAAGCTAGCACATTTCTCCGACTCCACACCCTAAGAGGAAAAGTTTAAGAATCATTAAAAGTTTTTACTTAATAAACTGTATAAGAAATACTTACAATAATTTTAGTTTTGGGGGACAAAGCCTTTACAGCCGTGGCAATACCGGCAATCAATCCTCCACCGCCGACTGGAACCACCACAGCATCCGGTTCCGGAACCTGTTCGAGTATTTCCAAACCAATAGTACCCTGGCCAGCCATAATATGTGGATGATCATAGCCATTGACATACAGTAGACCCTCCTCACGGGACATCCGCATGGCCAGGGACTTGGCCTCTCCCATATCATTACCATCCACAATAACGCGAGCCTTGTAGTTCCTGCATTTCTGGATCTTCATAATAGGAGCCGCCTTGGGCATCACCACCGTGACTGGGATATTGAGTTTCCAGCCATGATAGCACAATGCCTGGGCATGATTACCCAAGGAGGCACTAATCACTCCGGTTCTCTTCTGCTCGTCGGTCAATGATAACAGAGCATAGCGTGCGCCACGCTCCTTGAAGCTGTCAAAATTATGAATTGGGTCTATAAGTCACATGTTATATGTTCTCAAAATCAAAAATCAATTAGCAACAGCTATTAATTTCAGCCTATCGAACCTTATCTGTCAATTAAAGGTTTTATCTTATCGGATCTCTGGCTTTTATGTTTAGCCAAAATTTATCAGCAACATTTTGTGGTAATAAAAGAACTACGTTTTAGTCGATGAAGTGTCAACAAACAAAAATAGTTACAGTCAAGCTTTCGTAAGTTAAACTTTAATAAGAGAAATATTTTATAATTAAGTAAATATTGATTAAAAATCAATTTTGTAAGTGCTCTTAAAGTTGCTCTTATAGAAGTCTGCTTATCAGAGTAAAGGAAAATGACAATCCCAGACAGTATTCGTAGTATATAGTAATGATTACTAAGTGCTAAACAATATAGATCATTCTAATATAAACAATATATATATTCTATATTGAAAATGCACCTTGGACTTATACTCGTATTTCCCTATCAAAAAGTAATCGTTTATAAGGGAACTCAATATAGAAACGTAATTAATAACAAAGATTTAAAAATCACAAAAATATATCTTTAAATGAAAATCTCTTTGCCTAGACCCATTAGGAAAACCTAAATCAGATCACAAATATTCTTAGATCACGATAAAGTAATAGGAAAGCTGAACTATTCTCTTCCTAACTGAGTTTAAGTTCAAGTTAATAACTTGCTTTCTTTCTTCCTAAGTTATTCCCTTAACTCACCTTCCCGTATATTGCAGGAAATCCTTTTTCAAATACAACTCCATGCCATAAAGATCCGATGAGGTGGATTTCTATAACAAACTCTTCTTATAGAAATCAAAAACAAAATCACAAACCATAAAAATAGCTACCGGACAAGGAGTACGTTCCACGCCGCCACGAATGAGAAAGGCAGCCGATGTGACATCATGAAAGGAAATCCTTTGTGGTTTCTCTGGATTACAGAAGGGATCGATGATTTCCTCAACGCCACCAGAAACATGTCTGGGTCTCTTCAAAGCCTCCAACTTTCCATTAACAGCTGTACTATTAAGTTTGTTAGTCGAACCATTAGATTCCTTTGACGTTTCCGTTTTCACAGCCTGCGACATTGCACCTGAACAAAATATACACTCTAGGACCTCTGACTTTAACCGCTCGCTGAATACTGATGACTGCGGGTATAACTCGGATGTGGTATATATATATATGTATATATGGGCGAGTGGATGAGGAGACTCTATTGGGTCGTAAATACGGCACCTTTGCGTTTCAATTGCCGGCTGGACACTTTATGGGGCCTGGCCTGACGACCAGCTGATAAGAAAATGCTCTGCCAACCGCAACAACGAAACAATAACAACGATAACGTTTCTCGTTTGTACTTGTTTTTCCTCTTTTCGTTTTTATATTTTGGCAACATCAACGGAACTGTTATTTCCATCTCGATAGGAAAACAAGTCTATAAGAAGTATGGTTTTTTTGGGTATTGAATGGGGGTCAAAGGCGATAAGGAAATCGAAGCGTTATCGCGAAAGCCACAATGGAAATATTTGAATATATGGAAATTTTTTTAGGGATCATATCTGAGTTTGCAATTATATTCTTTATAGAATTTTAAATATATTTAAAACATAATTTATCTATAAAATTTTTAGTTATTAAGTAAATTTACAAACTTTTAATTTAAATCTTGAAAAAAATCTAAAAGAAATCTTAAAAGTTTTCATTTTCTAATTGCATTTTCTGAAACAAAAATCGTACGAGCCCCCCAAAGTAGAAAATTTCCTTCTAATCTAAAACTGAAAGACACACCCATTTATTATTGCCACAAGAACCAGGCTTATCTTATCAACATGCACTAAACCGATAAGAGAAGCTACCAAAATAACAACATGACTTTAGGGGTCAAAGGCTAACCAGTTGGCCGGATTGGTAACCGTCATTTGCTCAACTTGCTCTAAGGTAACACCACGATCGAACATTCTCGGCAGGATATTGGTGTGGATGTGATGATAGCCATGACCGCCATAGGAGGTCTAAAAATAAAATCAATTATATAGAAAATATTTACCAAAAAGTTAATTTTACCCAACCAATCTATGTTTAGTGTGGATGTCGTGGGACATTAGCAGCTTGTCCACCAAACCCTCTTTGATGAGCTTTATTAGGTTGTCAATACGTTGACCATCGGAGATCATGTCCACGCTGGTATTTAGCTGGTAGAAAGAGCACTCAGTGCCAAAGAGATCGTACTGGATATAGCAGCCTAGCTTGGCGAACTCAACAAGGTCATCAATATCGAAAAGTGTGCCTAAAAGATATAGTTTGTTAGTTAATATATTTGTCTTTTAAAATCCTATATTACTTACGATCTAAATGTGACATCACACACTTGTCGGCACGTCCTCCCGCCTCGAGGTAAAGACGCATGATCTCGAAGGGAGCTTTGGTCACACGGTGAGGATGCATGGAGACACCGCAACCCAGGACTTCCTGGATCTCACCAGCAGCCTTTATAGAATTCTTTTCAAAATCTGCAAGAAAACCAGATAATATCATATCACATAAGATCAAAGAAAAGTTCTATACTTACCATGAATAGGAAACACGCTGGCCACCTCGCCAATGAATCCGCATTTGACCATCTTCCCATTGACCTCCAGGCCAGTGATGATATCCTTCGAGTAAAGATCACTCATTTGCTCTACAGTCAAGCTGGCATGACTAGCATCCTGCATGGCGTGGATATAGTGACCTGTACCAACTATAAAGTGCACACCAGTGCTCTTGGCCAGTTCCACAATGAACTCCAGATTGCGTTTCAGGCCATAACTACTATTCTCCACAATGCTACCACCACCGTGTTTCTTGTACAGCAGAACATCTTTCTTGGCAGCCTCCAAGGCTTCGCCATCATAAAATCTAACATTCTCCATGCTGGAATATGGATAAAGCCTGACATAACCCAGGGTGGACATGCTGATCTTAGCCTTAAGTTCACTCTCAAAGTCCGGAGGCGGCGGGCGGTAGAAGTGCTCAAAATCTAAAGCCACATGCTCGTGGGTTAAAGTTCGCCCCAAAAGGTTGGGGGTAATAGTACCCAGAACTAGATGTAAATTACAGTGGAAAATTTTCATTATTAAAGGGGAAAAGATAAGCTTAGTAAGAGATCTTATCTCCAATTTACCGGTCTGTACGGTTGACATGTTCGCAGCTCTCAATGTAGGTCACTCTATGAATATTTTTTCTCTTTTTATTTTTATTTTGAAAGTATTTTTAGACTCGCTGAGGTCTGATCACTCCGAAAGCCAGTGGAGAACTGATCTTGAGAGTCGTTTCTCCAGGGAGTTCCCTAGGCAGAGATATATGTTTACCGTTGCTTGGCTTGATCCCCGGACCTTGCCTTATCTACAAATAATTTTATTGCGCAGAAACAGAGATTGCAATAGGCGAAGGAGTTGTTGATCATTCACTTAGCTCTCATTAAAAAAACATTAAAAATCATTTCTAAATGCTAACTAAAAGCAGGTGATTTTAAATGCAATCTAAACAGAATTTAAAACCTTATGAATTTATTTAATTAATAAGATTTTTTTGTTATGAAAAGAAAACACATTTGATTTATATTTCTCAGAATAATTCTCTTTATTAGTTCCATTTCTTTCCGTGTTTTTGTATTTTCTTTTTAATTTTACTTAGGTTTAAGTTTATCAGTTTTAGCGTTTTCTCATTTATCAGATATACATATGTCTATATATATATATACTCATTTATACTTAAGATATATGTTTCTTTCTGTTATTCAGACGACATTGCTGCTTCATTCATTTAACTGTTATATCTCGTATATATATATATATATATTTCTTTCGATTTTTCTTAGATCTAAGCATTCATTATTTTACCATTCGCAAAAGATTTTGTCAAATATTTTTAATTGTTTTTGAGTTTACTTTTTTAGCAGCTTTTTGATCAAAACCTTTTTTTTTTTTGTTTGTTTGTTGTTTTAATAAGATTAACTGTGTTTTATTTTGTTTTTTGTTTTTTTTCCTAAAATAATCATAACGAAATAAGCACACAAAAAAATGTATTATTTATTTACTTGCTGAGTTTAGGTAGTTACTGAGTTTTACTTTTGAACACTTGCTGTGACTTTAGTTAGGTTAATAACTATTGCATGAAGAGCGAACGAACCATTTGTTATGAAACACATCCCAGAGCCGCATTTTTTCTATTCTTAATTGGCCTTTGTTTTCTTTCAGTGTAACCCATATTTTATGCCCCTTTTCTTTGTCCCTAAACTACTTAGCACCTTGGCTTGGCTGTTGGGTTCCGAATGGTTTTTCAAAAATGTGCAAAGGAATATATGATTTAAAATATATATTTTTTTTATATCCAAATAAAATCTCAAAAAATAAAACATGCAATTTGTTTTTTTAAAAATTATATTATCGCCTTTTATTGAACATTTTTTTGTTGTTTTGTTGTTGTTTTATCCAGTTTTTAGCTATATAAATTTTGAAGTTAATATTTGTTATGGTTGCTCTTTTCCTTTTTTTTTTAACTTCTATTTTATTGTATTTGTTTATGGTTTTAAGTTTAATTAAAATAGTTGTTGCTCTTATATATGCCCGGATCTGAGGCTCATGTTTAGGTATACATATATATATATATATCGTATGTATATATATATATCTATTTCTATTTAGATTTTCTAGCTTTACCGTTTCTGTGTTAAATATATGTTCACTGTTTACTCCCTCCATCTGGCTGCAGACGCTTGTTTGTTTGTTTTTTTTTGTTTTGTTTTAATTACAAATTACACATTAGTACAATATTTATATATATACGCGTTAAGGTTTTAGATATTGGATGCATTCATAGTTCAAGTTCATTAAATCTCATTCATACGCTTAGGTCAACTAATTTTTGTTTCTCGTCGTCGTCTCCAAAAACACTTCCATATATACTATATACTATATATATATATATATCCAAAATCAAAGAGTCAAAAGTCAAACAAACATCAAATTCGGCTAGCAATTGCAAAAGATTTTTTTAAACACAAAGAGTTAGAGTTGAGGCGGAAGGGTCAAAAGGGGCATATTGAGGGGGAGGGGATCTTGATATTGGAGTGATTGTTTGCGTGTCGTTTGATTAGCTTATAAGCGCAAAAGTGACTAAGAGGTGCACACAACAAAATAATAATAATAATAATTATGGTAATATAATAAAGAACTACTAGAATAAACGTTGGTTAATCATAATAATAATAAGTTTTATTACGCTTAATTATAATTATTATTTGCCTTTTCACTTTACTCGTTTCGTTAAATAGAATATATAATAATAAACACAATTTCAACTAAAAGCACACTAAAGCATTGTAAATTATTGTAAATAAAAACTACAACTATGCAAAAAATATATTTATATATATATATATTTAGAAAAATATATATATAGTTTTTGAAATCAATTCGAACTGTATTTTTTTTCTCGTTTTTCCTTCATTTTAAGTTAGTAAATCATCAGTTTTAAAAATGTTTTCAAACTCTGCTCCTTAAACTTGTTCGTTTATAATCTTAAAATCCATTTTTGTGTGTTCTCTCGTGTATGTATACAATTTTACTAATTAATTTTATAGTTTTTTTTTGTTTTTTGTTTTTAATGAATTAAATTATGATATATACGTATGCATTAAAGTGTTGCCTTTACTTTTTGTGGGTTTTGCGGGGGAGTAAAATTAAAATTAAAATGACATTTAGCTGTTCTTGTTAATTGCAGTTTTTACTTTTCTCTCACACACACATTCCTCCGAGGTTTTCCCATTTTCTTTAACTCTGTCTCTGTACATTTTGTTTTTTATAGGTCTTTCGTCTTTCATTTAAAATTATATTGAAGTTCGTTACTAGGTTTGCATTTTCCATCTCTGATTTTGTACAGTTCAAAGGTTCTGTGACGACTACTAAGCACTTCTCTATTGCTGTTGGATGGGCTAGCTCTCTAATCTTGTCCAGAAACAAAATCTCCTAAGCACAAAAAGGGTCTCTTAAGCTAAGGCTTAAACTTTAGACCCTCTTTGACCCCCGAGATTCCACAGATCAATATAGATATATAGCTAACTGATAGCTAGGAAACACCAATAGCTGGACTTGATCTGAGCTTGAGAAAGGCGTTTGGTTAAAGGCGAGTTTGGTGTTGGCTTTTACTTAGCTGCTCCTGCTGCGAAAACGATTCCTCTTTTCATCAGTTCTGTGTGCCAAAATTTGAGATATTGGATTGGTTTTGGTCAAGTGGGAATTTTTTGTTTTTTAAATTGTAGAATCAAAATTTATTGCAGTATTTCCTCTTTGTTATTGGTAAGTTTTGTTTTTGTTTTAGTTTTTACTTACAAAATGTTTGTTTTGATTTTTTTTTGTTCATTTTTTGTATTTTTTTTTTCGCTTTTTTGTAGGGTTAACAACACAATTTATTTCTAGCTTTAAATTTATTTTGCATAGGTGTAATTAATTAATTTGAATAAAAATTTCTTGTAAATTATGTACTACAGAATGAAGAAAGCAAAAATTAAAAAGATAGGTTGTGTACGCATGTGTGTGTGTGTGTTTTTTTTAATATAAACAAAGAAAAACTAAATAACGCTTAAAGCAATAAAAATCTAAAGACGAACCATATATATTTATTGTATTTTTTGCATTTTTCTTTTTTTTTTTAGTTTGCCATTTGCTGAATTTTCTTTGTAACCACTATATATATATATAGATAGAATATGTTGTTTTTTTTTGTTAGCTGGTTTTTGTTTTAATCATTTTGTTTTGTCGCCTTAATGTGCATTTACCCAAAAGAAAAACTATATACGTGTATGAGCGAGTCACACGATTTTACATATCCTACCATATATAGATGTAGATATAGTTAATATTATGCAAGTATATATATATATATAATTCATCGAAAATCAGAAAATTAAAATCAATTCAATTTAATGTTAGAGTGGGGGGGTAGAGGGATGGCTGACAGGGAGGACAGGTTTGGGGGGGCAAAAAGTAAAACGAAGAAAAAAACGCCGCTTGCACTGCATTCGCCTGCTTTGATTCACTAATTAATTATAATTATATTTAGATTTCTATGTATAGGGAGTTGTTAGGCTCCAAGTTGCTTTACACTAAACGCGCTCGCTCTCCTTCTCTCTCTCTCTACAGCTATACTCTCTCTCTCTCTATCGCTCATGTCTGGCGTGGTCGTGATTTTTAAGATTTCGATTTTTAGCAAACTTTTTCTTTCTTAAGGAGCTTCTACACAACTGCGTTATTCTTGGTTTCTTTTCTTCAGGTTCTTTTTTTACATTTTTTTTTTGTGGTGAGGGCTTTGTTTTTTTACGCTTAATTTTGCATATTTTTTCTTTGCTTTTTTTCTCTTTTAATACATATACATAATTAATTAATATATACTTTGTTTTTTGTTTCTTTTCATTTAGTAGCTGATAATTAAGAATTGAGAAAGAGCTGGTTGATTGGTTTGCTTTTGTTGTGGTTGTTGTTGTGAATTTTGGGCTTGTTAAATTTGTTTCTTAAAATTTCCTCTTATTATTTGCATTTTGAATTTACTTAACATTTTCTTTCTTTTTTTTTTTTTATTATTATTATTTAATACACTCCAACAAATTACAAAAACAAATGACACACATCGTCTTACTTAAAGGTTGTTGCGTTGTATGATTATAACATGAAACAAGGGTTTGTTGTTGTTTGTTGTGTGCTTTTTTTGTCGTTGTAAATGTTGTGGCATGTGTGTGTGTGTGTGTGTATGTATGTGTTTTTAGCTAAATACAAACAATTTGCAAATTGTATTTGGAATAACAAAATATTTCAACGTTAGTGTTGGTTTTTCTTCAAAACGGTTTTTCCGGCCCAGCTCAGCAGGCGACCAGTGCTGATTGTTGTTGTTGTTCATGTTGTTGTTGCTGTTGCTGCTGCTACTGCTGCTGCTGCGATGATTGTTATTGTTGCACTTGCTACTAACGCTGTTACGCGTCTGGTTCAAGATGTACTATCAAAGGTGTTAACTGCTGAACGCTGCTTGCTGTTGCATGTTGCATGTTGTATTGTTGGCGGCTGCTGCTGCTGCTGCTACAGGTTGCTGCTGGACGTTGTTGCTAGGCGTAGCTTAACGTTGCTTTTCTTGTTGTTGAGCATCGAAATTGTTGTTCCAGTTGTTGTTGTTGTTGCTGCATTTTTTGCGGGGTATTTGGTTATCGTTTCTCTGTACTATTGTTGCTTTCGCTTTTCTTTCGCTGTTTACATTATAATTACATTACAATTACAGTTTATATCGATCTTTATAGTATTACTTTCTGTGTTTTTGTGTGTGTATAATTGGTGTATGGTGTGTGTGTGGTGTGTGTTTATGCTTTCTGCTCAGTTTTGTTGTTGATTTGTTTGTTGTTATAGCGCAGCAGCATATAATATATATATATACTCTTATTATGTGTAGTTGGTTATTATCATTCTACGGCTACTGTTACTGTTACTGGCACAATATCGAAATTCAAATCTTTTGAATCTTCTCGCCAACGACAACCGGATTGTTGCGTCGGATTTCCTGTGCACCGTGCTCTCTGTAATCGAATGTGCAGTTATGTTTATCAGAATAACGGTGCACGGCGCAGTACAGACCGCCGCAGCGACACTGGAAACCTAAATAAAATAAAAAAAAGTTGTTAGTTTTAATTTTTAACTTAACAATGAATATCTACAAACTCTACTTACCGGTCAGTCCAACCTTCTTGCGGCACTCGCCACATCGGTTCTTCTTCTTTTTGGCATCCTTATCGTCTTCCTTGTCCTTGTCATCCTCCTCGTTGGCAGAGGCGGCTGCTTGTGTGGAAGTGTTTGGACCAGTCGCCGATGTGATGGCTTCGCTGTTGACTTTGGCAGCAGCGGCGGCTTCTTCGGTGATTTTCTACAAGGAAATGGAAGAAAAACAAATCGAAATTTCAATCACATGACAAAAATACATGACAGCATCAACAGATATGCTAAGGTTAAGTTTGAGCTTTTAGAAATCTAAGGTCTATAGTCTATAACACTAACTAATTCTCTTTTTAAAGAGTTTTTCTTTATATTTATGTTTCTAATTAAAACCCAAAAGCTATACATTCTCATCCTCCTCCTCGAAGTGCATTCAAAAAGCCTTGAAGATCTTTTCTTAAGTATATTATTTCCTTTTTTATTAGACCAAACAATTTCGACTGTTTCATCAAAATGTTCAAGTGTCCGCTGTGTGGTGTCTTTCTCGCCGCTGTTCAGAGCTGCCTCATCATCTGGGCAAATGCTGTTGCCAAGAATTCCTATCGAATCGGCTGAGTGAGAATCTATTTTGTGAGGGCAAACAAGATTGCCGATGCGCTGAAGCTGATGATGATGATGATGTGTGGGGTGTGGTGAATGTTTACCCGCTTCTTGGCTCCGCCTTCTGAGGCCCCCTCTGCGGACTTTGCCCCGTCTACTGCATCGCCTCCATCAGGTGACATACTCCGGCGACGTTTCTCACACTGCATCTGATGATTTGTTTCCTGATGCGTCTGCTCCTTCTCGCTGGGACTCTCATTCTGATCGCCACCATCAGACTTTTCCATTGCCATTGCCCCGCCTACTGCATCGCCTCCATCAGGTGACATACTCCGGCGACGTTTCTCACACTGCATCTGATGATTTGTTTCCTGATGCGTCTGCTTCTTCTCGCTGGGACTCTCATTCTGATCGCCTCCATCAGACTTTTCCATTGCCTCGCCGCCCATTCTGTGCCTGCCCTACCCTACTACGCTGAATACCGGTGATTGTCGACACCGGCTTCTTGCGTCCTGCTAATCCCGCACCGTTTTCCACCAAACGTGAGCTTGATCCAGGTAGAGTCTTTGTGCTGGCACTACCAGTCTTGATGCCCGTCTTCGTCTTTGCCTTTCCTTTTCTTCTGCTCTCACCAGATCCAGATTCCTTGGCCGCCTTCTCCTCGGCAGCTGTTCTCTTGGCCCTGCGAAGAAGAGCAGTTGCTAGGGCTGATTTACCAGTTGCTGGCGAGGATTTCCCCACAACGTTCAGGCGAAGAACGCGTGGCGCCGCTGCTGCTGATTTAACGGATTCCACATCAACGATGGTTCCGTGTTTGTAAATGTCCTGGTTACTACTTGTGGCAATACCACTTGAGTTAAGAAGTTCGCTTGCCGTTTCACCACTTCCGCCCTCCCGACGAGATCGATTCCGCTTCAGCTTCTTGACCTTCTTCTTCAGCTGCAGCTCACCAATCCGGGTGGACTTCTTGGCGCTGGTCACCGATGGAAATGTGTGTACATTGGCCGAGAACTTGACACGGCGTTTGATACTGGGATCTGCAGTCTTGCCTCCTCCGACTTTCCGGCTAGCCAGCGAGCTTTTCCTGGGCAGCGACTGAAGGGCTATGTTGCTGTTGGTTCCGAAGTGCAAGACCGCTCCGACGACCGGGGCACCAGGCACCTTGGCAGCAAAGTTAGCGGCGGCAGAAGCGGTTGCGGCGGAGGCGGCGGCTGCTGCGGCTCCCGCCCTGCGGTAAGGACGAGTCGGGGGGGCTGTTGTCGCTTGTGCTGCAGCATGGCATCAAAGTGAAGGAGAGATGTGTAGGTGGGAAACGATGTTAGTGCGTCAGGACGACGCCGGTAGACCCAGTATGAGCAATCAGTACCCTTTGATGCCGCAATGTTTTGCGGGAACCCATCCCTGTCCGTCCCAGTAACCAGGCCAAGACCCACTGAACCAGCAAGCGGTGCACTTAGACTGGCTAAAGCACCGGCTGTGGCACGCCTTAGCCTGAGGGATGTCGGCCGTTTCCGCTCATCATTCAATGGACCAGTCACTGGAGTGCTTTTGGGAGCAACGCGACCCGCTTTCTTTTGTGGCGAATTAGCAAAGGGAACGACCATCTCGAAGGTTTGGAAAGACTATAATTTTGAAGTACGGGCCAAAATCACTGAGAATTTTGAGTCCGAACAAAAGGAAATATCTAACAGAAGTCGAACAGAATTGACAGATGAGTGTGACACTAAACCGAAAGGAGAGTTGTAGGGGATTCAGGGTTCCATAGGAGGTTTAGAGAGGGTTAGTTTCGGAAGACCCCCTAAACTTAAGTTTTACAATAACAATGAGCGCTTCAAGATTTATAGTTGCATTAAAATCAAAAAAAAAAACTTTATCTTTCCTAAACAATCTATGGAACCCCTTTTAAACTGTAACTCCTTTCGGCTTAGTGCCACGCACTTTCTGAATCGGAGATGCGCCAGCTCCTTGGGATGGTCTCTGGGGAACAGGGACTGTGGGCACTTTACCTTACTTACAGCTTCTACAGCGTCGTCTGTGGCAGACACATCAACGTACCACACACTTATTAACACCACTCACAAATCACACAGAGATCACACTAAACTAATTCGAAATGGGTAAACAAGCTTCTTGGATTCCCCGTATCTTTTTTTTGAACACACAACAAGTTGATTCAACAATTTCACTTAAGATTACACTGAATTTATGACCGAAAATCAAAAGAATTTATCACTGACTGAACAAAAACGCTCACTAAAATAGGCTCAAACTGACAGGCCTACTATGCTTTCTTTTGTTTTCTAATTTCGTTCATTCACATATTGAATATTGGTTGATTTTCATTTATCAGAAATCCATAATCTGCATAGTGCTAATAAAAGCTTCAGAGTGGTGCATGGAAGTATCATCATTTGAAAAGTTAATATCAATATGCTTTAAAATATATATTACCCTAAACTCTGATTATGATCTACGATTCCAGTTTTCACTTTAAAGAAAGTTGACAGAATTGTATGTAAAAATCTAAATCAAAGTTCTACCGTAAGATCCTTAATTATAAAATATTTTAGAATTCAATCAAAATTCCTTTAAAGCGATATCTAGAACCACTCTCATATCACATTAGATAGAATATTTTTCATATATCAGAAATCCATAATCTGCACTATGCCATTTCTAGCTTAAGAGTGGTGCATGGAAGTATCATCACTTGAAAAATTTTCATTAATATGCTTTCTTATAACTATGCAGTATCCTGACACCTGATTATGATTAACGATTCCTGTTTTCACTTTAAAGGAAGTTGAGTGAAATGGATGTAAAAATCTAAATCAAAGTTTATTTAAACAAGATTCCTTTAAAGTCATACGAGAAACCACTATCACCATAAAGGATAGGATATATTTCATTTCAGAAATCCATAATCTGCACTGTGCTATTTCTAGCTTAAGAGTGGTGCATGGAAGTATCATCATTTGAAAAATTATCAAAAAGTTTTATAATATCCTCAAATCTGATAATTATTTATAATTCCAGTTCTCACTTTAAAGAAAGTTGATAGAATTGGAAGTAAACTAGATCCTTATTTATAAAATGTTCATTCTAACAAGTTTCTATTAAAGTGATGCTTGGAAAGACATTCACATCATTTATTTCAAAGGATATTTTTCATTTTTCAGAAATCCATAATCTGCACTATGCTATTTCTAGCTTAAGAGTGGTGCATGGAAGTATCATCATTTGAAAAATTATCAATAAGTTTCATAATTTTATCATATATTTCAATACCTGACTATGACCTAAGGTTCCAGTTTTCACTTCGAAGAAAGTTGATAGAATTGGATGTTAAAATTGATATCAAAGTTCTGCGAACAATAAGAAATTTATTTAAAGAATTCACATTCTAACAAGATTCATTTAAAGTGATATATGGAACCACTCTCATAAGGTAAGATATTTTTCCAGTATCAGAAATCCATAATCTGCACAATGCTAATAAAAGCTTAAGAGTGGTGCATGGAAGTATCATCATTTGAAAAATTATCAAAAAGTTTTATAATATCCTCAAATTTGATAATGATTTAAAATTCCAGTTCTCACTTTAAAGAAAGTTGATAGAATTGGAAGTAAACTAGATCCTTATTTATAAAATGTTCATTCTAACAAGTTTCTTTTAAAGTGATGCTTGGAAAGACATTCACATCATTTATTTCAAAGGATATTTTTCTTTTTTCAGAAATCCATAATCTGCACTATGCTATTTCTAGCTTAAGAGTGATGCATGGAAGTATCATCATTTTTATTTTAATTTTTATTTTAATACCTGACTATGATTTAAGTTTCCAGTTTTCACTTTGAAGAAAGTTGATAGAATTGGATGTTAAAATTGATAAAGTTCTACGAACAACAAGAAATTTATTTAAAGAATTCACATTCTAACAAGATTCTTTTAAAGTGATATATGGAACCACTCTCATAAGGTATGCTATTTTTCCAATATCAGAAATCCATAATCTGCACAATGCTAATAAAAGCTTAAGAGTGGTGCATGGAAGTATCATCATTTGAAAAATTATCAAAAAGTTTTATAATATCCTCAAATTTGATAATGATTTAAAATTCCAGTTCTCACTTTAAAGAAAGTTGATAGAATTGGAAGTAAACTAGATCCTTATTTATAAAATGTTCATTCTAACAAGTTTCTTTTAAAGTGATGCTTGGAAAGACATTCACATCATTTATTTCAAAGGATATTTTTCATTTTTCAGAAATCCATAATCTGCACTATGCTATTTCTAGCTTAAGAGTGGTGCATGGAAGTATCATCATTTGAAAAATTATCATCAATCTGCTTTATCATAATTATACAAAACTCTAACCACACCTGATTATGATCTACGATTCCAGTTTTCACTTTAAAGAAAGTTGATAAAATTGGATGTGGAAATCTATATCAAAGTTCTACGAACAATAACAAGATATTAGTTTAAGAAATTTGCATTCTAACAAGATTTCTTTAAAGCGATATATGAAATCACTCTCATAAGGTATGATATTTTTCCAGTATCAGAAATCCATAATCTGCACAATGCTATTTCTAGCATCAGAGTGGTGCATGGAAGTATCATCATTTGAAAAATATCAAATATAAATCTTCTTCATTTTTCAGTTTCAACTTAATAATACTTATAAATATACATAAGTAGTTAATACATTTAAATCTATGAAAGATTACTAAACCGTATTTCGGTTTATAGCATCTAATCATGATTCCTTTAAAGTAAACCCTTAAAGCAATCCTAAATCCATCTCCGTAACTCTGCTCACCTCTTTGACATCGCTGTGTGGCTGTTGTAAACTGGTGACTGTGGGCTGTGCGGTGTTGGTGATTGCGATGGCCGGACTGTATGTGGGGCTAGGTTGTGGGCTTGGAACGGAGACAGGTGTGCTGCTCACAGGTGGCTGTTGCTTTTTTCTAAGCGAGTCCTGTGGGAAAATTCAGAAAACAAAGAATTAGTATATGATTTTATTAAGATATAACCGAAAGAACTTACCTTATAGCATACGGAGCAGAGACCATCTGTGGCTGGATTACCATAGAAGCCGCAACCGGAGCGGCACATGGGTTGCATTGGGTTAGATTCACGTTCCATGGCTGGCTAGAGCGCCTTTGTGTGTGTGTGCGGTTGGTTGGTTTATTTATTTGTTTGATTTGTTTGATTTGCCTAGCTGCTTTTACTTTCGCCCAGCGAAGTTTCGTCTGCTTCCTGCTGCGGCAGCAACTCCTTTCCTTCCTGCTCTCAGTCGTGGAAGCGTGCAATTTCAAATTGGCAACGTGCAACTACTAGCAACTTGCAACTTGCGATTCGCAACTGTTGATCCGCCGTTGTTTTTATTTTTTTTTATATATATTTTGCGGTGCTTGTTTTAACTGTTGTTTAATCAGTTCGTCCAATTATTAGGCTGCGCTTGTGTCTTACTTCGTGACTGCCGCAAATAATTCGGAGTACGAGCTGTAAAATGAAAGATAGGGTCAGAGTTAGTAAATTTATCTTGTACAAAAATTAATCAAATAATAAATAATGTTTATTTTTCAATGTTCAGAAATCCATAATCTGCACGATGCTTTGTTAAAGCTTCAGAGTGGTGCATGGAAATATCATCATAGGAAAACTGATCTGATTTTTCCTATTTGTATTTAATTTACTTTCAATTTTAAACAAATTATAAAGGCAATTAAAACGGATTATGTAGTTTGATATTGATTATCTGCAACTGTGTTGCACTAAATTGCATTGCAACACGTTCAATAAACAAGCCCACAATTACATCTACAAAATATGCTGGTGTGTGAATGCATAAAAAATGTTGAGCAACATGACAAGTAAAAACTATGTTGTTTTTTTTTTTATTTATCCGCTTGCTCTCTTCAAGGCTGTCAAGCATATCGCACACATACACATTGATATATAGAAACTATACTATATTATACATTTGCGAGAGAGGGAACAAAGTCAGGCCTAAACTCGTTTTGGCCAACAAGCTGAGAACGCAAGCCGTAGTAAGAGGTAGTAAACTAAACGAGTTTGGTTTTATGTTTAATGAATATAAAACAGTCACACCTAACGGTTTCAACTGCTGCCATATATTCCCCGAGTATCCAATTGTTTATGTCGATCGATTAAACAGAAAATACCTGGCGAGTATCGATTTATCGCGATCAGTTTACTTTCTCAAAGTCGAAAAGTCGACGTGCCGAGCTGCACATCCATCACAAACGGAGTGAGAGAGAGTTATGGGCGAAATCCGAGACATACTCGTACACTGAAGGATAAATCTTCCCAAAACAAAGTTCAGAGTCTGCTTTAGAATGATCCTTAAACTTTTTATATTATATTGTGAAATACAAGCCGAATAAATTATTATAACTGGTTTTAGATTTTAATTTGTTTGGTAGTGATTTAAAAAAAATATATATTAACATTTTAAAAACATTAAAGTACTAAAACTCCATACCAATTAAAATTTTATGTTCTTTATTTCTCCCTGTGTAAAAGCAAAACCAAAACGTAATGGTAAAAGCCATCCACCAACAACAAAAGCAAGAAGGAGAGGTGGAGATTGTACCATCAGTTACATGGCCAACAAAGAAGGAAAGAGAAAGAATAACACATAGAGAGAGGGTAAGGAAAAGGGCGAAAGAGAAGACAGCAGAATTGAGCACAAGCACAATAACATTTACTGTTATTTTCAATGCGACGTTTGGAGCTTGGGGCAAGAATCAAAATGGGCACACGAAGCTCTCAGTGCGTGAGTGTAACAACGAGTATGTGTATGTATGTGTCTGTCAGTCTGTGTGCAATAAAGAGAGCGAGATTCTGTTATACAAAATTTGACCTTAGTGGTGAGAAAGCTAGGCTTTGCTTTGCTTTGCTGTGCCATAAATTACAAACTAATAAATGGCTTAAATTACGGGGGGTTCCCTCCACACACAACAAAAAAACATTGCACAACTGTGGCCAATACAAACGAACCTTTTTTACCCAATACATGGGCAGTATTTAGAGATGTGCGCATATAACATACAAACAAAATATGGCCTAAGCAACTTTTACATTTACAACGTAGCATGGGGAGTTTTTTGTTATTTTCAAGAGAGCAACATTTGCCGTGGTGAGTTTTAGTTTGATGGAGCACGGGGAGCAAAAAGGTGACATATGTTTACATTGGCATTGCATTTACATAGGTTTTTGTACATACAATCGAATGGATATTTGTATGGGTGTGTTGTTTTTGTGTGATGGGCGCAGCCATAAATAAAATTTGTTGTTGTCTTCGTCTTTATTTCTACGCAAATTGTGCTTGTGCTTGAAAAAATTTACTTTGATTTATTGTTGCAGTGTAGAGCGCAAAGCAAACAAAGTGCAATGTTCAAGTGTATTTGTATGAATGTTGGTTTGATTTCCTGCTGTTGTCATTTAATTGCAAAGCCAAAACAGCTGTCCGTCTCGAATCCTCTCTCTTACCCACACTTACACACACATGCACTTATGTAGAAGGTGGACTAATGAAAATGTCAACAATAAAAGAAAAAATTCCCCACACAACAAATTGGCAGGCGAAACGGGGATAGATGTATGATCTCTCCTCTCTGTCTGTCTATAAATTACACAGAAAAAATATAATAAGAGTAAAAAAACAAGTAAAGCCACTTTACATTTATTTGTTTAAACAACCAACTATAACTATTAGGTATTTATTCAATTAACGTTCTTTTCAATCTATTATAATTGATAAATATTAATCTTGATAATCGAGAATCACATACAGTACTTTTTCTCAGTGCACCTGAGTATGTAGTGTGGTTACGTATGTATGGTATGTACATACGTCAACAAGCACGCGCGGCTGCTGTGCCAAAGTTTTATTTTTGTTTTTTTTTTTAACAAGAATAAAAGCTATTCATATGTATTGAGTTTATTTATTTTGTTTTGTATGCCTTCCCACTTCTTCCCCTACCCCCCACTTACCAAACCCCTCGCCCTGCCCAACCAACGACCTCTGCTATTTTTAAGCGAATTCGTTTTGTTATCTGGCGAGCGTGTGTTTTTCTGTTTTCGTGTGTTAAAGTGTTGGCCATTAAAGCAAATAGGAAATCATATGATTCTTTCGGACGAACTTTATGACGACATCACTCAAGCGCGTGACGTCATTGTTTGTTGCTCTCTTTCTCTCTCTCTCTCTCTTTCCCTTTATTTTTCACTGAAGAGAGAAAAATGCGCATTCAACTGAATTGCATAAGTAAAAAAAATAAGAAAGAATAGTATAAAAAAAAACTAAGAAAATAAATGCAAGTGCTAAGTGCAAAACAATTAGCAAGAAAGCAAAAATTGGCGCGTGGTTGCCATTGCAAAAAGGCATTATTATGCAAGTCTGGGGCGATAACAGAATAGAAACCGAGGGAGGTGAGGGGAAACGGCTTAAAATGAAATTCCTCGGTATTATGCATATTTATTAAGCAACAAACTTATCTGGTTTGGTACTGTTCAAAATGATATTGGATTCATTTTATATACAACGAATATAATCAAACTAGATTATAAATTATGGTGTCATTAATGTTTACTATTATCATATGTTTTATTTTACGTTAAGTTTCTGATTTAATTTCTCTCAGTGTATTGCCCTACTTATCATGCGACTTGAACGTGAACGAAACGAATCGATTTCGGGCTTTTCGGTTTCTGATTTCGAGGAGGGGTATCGATAGGTCGACTACCAATCACTTTCCGCCACTACTTACTGATATGAAAACTGTGATAAAAAGCGGACGGCAGTAAACAAATTACACACACCAACACACTCTCGTACAAACACACATACACAGGTTAATGTGCTGTTGACCTGCATTCAAATACTGAATTTTACAACAGGAAAGGCTCGAGAAACGGACATCATGATGATAATGATGATGGGCAGCATAAAAGGTAAAAAGAAAGAGTGGGGCGAGGAGAAACTCCAGGAACAACCACAACAAACACAACCCGCCGCGCTCTTCTGACTCACATTTGCATATTAATGAGCGCGTAAAAGCGGACCAGACAACAACGATAAAGATAAAGGAGCAATAGCAACAACAAGAACAACAGCAACAAACATATGCTGATGAAATGCAACAAAGAGACAACATCACCCATTGAATTATTAAACTTTATTAAAATGTGCGCAAAAGGAGGCACAGAAATTGAAAGAGGAAAAGAGAAGAGAAGAGACAGAGAGAGAATGAGCGAGAGAGAGAGAGCCAAGTCAAGATGGCTGCTCGGCTCAATTTAGAAGCGAATTGAGCTCTGGGGCTTAAGCTTAAGCTCAAAAGTCGCAAGAATGCGCGGAGCTTCCGGTCAGGCATCTGAACTCAAAGTCTTAACCCTCTACATTCACTCCATAAACTGAACCAGACCTCATCGCTTGGTTGTTTTTTTCACTTATTTATACTTTATTTAATATCTGGTTTATATATAATACCCGGTTTACACACCCTTGTATTAAATCTTAAAGCAACATTCTTGATAAATATTATTGTAACTAACAGTTTTATAACCTTTAATTATAAGGTTCAATATTTCCATATTTAAGTTATGCAATCTTAGATAAGAGTTAAACATCTACGTTCTATATTTAATATGCATTTTAAATGCCTTTTTTTCCATATATTAAGATTTAAGATATTTTTAAGATATTTTTGATAAGCTTTGAACTTTCCTAGCCTTTCGAAGATCTCAGATCGATTTATAAGGCGAAAAAAATCACCTTACTTTACTTCTCTATATTTTTAAAAAGGTTATATTAAGATGTTTCTATACGAAACACTTTAAAATGTTTAAAACAATCAATCAATTTTGTAGATATTCCATGGATACACAAAGATATAGCATGTCAATGGAGTTGGTTTAAAATTAGAGTTGAAGGCAAATATATTAAACAAAATATAAAACTAACGGAACCGAGAAAAGAAGATGGCAAGAAATAGGAGGCCAAGAAGAGAGCGTGAGCCGTTCCCGCCCATCATTAATCAAAATAAATTACAATCTATGAACGGAGGAAAAAAAACGATATGACGACTACATTTCAGGCTGCCAGCCAGAACTCTCGGACTTCAGACCGAAAAGGAGTGGAATGTGTTGTTATTTTTGCCATAATAAATGATCACTTCAAGATTTCACGTTTCCGGCGATTTTGTTGCGAAAATTATTAAAGACTCCGAACAAAACGCCCCTACAAAATATATGAAAAATAAATGCATCGAAAGGCTAAACCCAGACATACATAGCTGGGCAGGGCCAGCTTAGGATTAACGTAGCATAGTATATGTTCGGCAAACAAAACCACAACTGAAAAAAAAAAAAAAATAAAAAAAATACAAAAATGAAACGCTGGGAAACACCTGTTCAAAATTACACAGCTCGGGGAACAACAAAATGTTGCCACAGCCTGATGTTGTGCGATAGGTCAAAAA